AGCAGGTCAATTGATAATCAGGTGATGTATTCGACAATAAATCAAGCACGATAGTTCCTAGGGAAAACCGCGTGAAGGTCGACCTGATAGGGCATATTGCTAGCAATGGGATTGCTAATCTCCGTTTCTAAGAATCTCTTTTCCCCTTATAATTATGGTAGTGGAATTAAATAGAATAATTTTATTCACACATACTACCTAATGACCTAATGCTTTTTTACTTCTATATGTAAAACTAATTAAGGTTGGGGGAAAGGGATTGTTAGCAATGGAGTTTGACAGCCCCATTGCTAGCAATATACCTTATTAGGTCGACCTCCCCGTGATTCCCCTTGGAAACCATCGTGAACAATTCTTGTTGAATTCGTTACGATGGGCTAACTGACCATCCTCACCTATCATCTCTCACTGGTGCCCCGCCGATGTATACCGATAGCACGGGCGGGGTTACCATTCCATTATCACCCATAAAAAAATCTAATTAAGGTTAGATTATGACGGAGTTGACATGATCTTGCAGGATACATTCTGTTAAATAATAAAAAAAACGAATATTGTTAATGACTGAGTTATTATTTTCGATAATGGCCAAATCAGTTGCGTGAATATAGAGGGCGCTCGTTAATATTTGTTTGATCGATTACCGTCACGTGCAGGCCAGTTCAATAAACCTGCAAATGATCGGTCATTTATCGGACGCTAACTCTTCGCTGTTCCATATTATATTTTGTTCAATGCATTGTTATATTTACCAGAGGAAGACTGTATTTCGTTTGCTTGGATATCCCTGTCTTACTCGTGTCTATGCTGTTTTTAATGGATGATAATGGAATAGTAGCCCCGCCTGCGCTATCGGTATACACTGGCGGGGTACCAATGAGGGATGATAGGTGATGATGAAGCAGGCCAGTTAGCCCATCGTGATGAAATCAACAAAAAATAATCGCGATGGTTTCCAGGGGGAACCGCGTGGAGGTCGAAATGACGAGGTATATCGCTAGCAATGGGATTGCTAATTCCCTTTACTGACAATCCCTTTTCCCCTTTCGCGTCTATGCTGTTAAGCAGATGTATTTGTATAGGTGTGATATGGCAGTGATGTTACAATGTACGTAGGCATAACCACGTCCATTCATATTAACGCATTCGGATAAAAAATTGTATTAATTTTCGAATGGTCTACGAGTATGGTAAAAATTTTGCTTGCACTAGAAGTTATGGAAGATATACAACTGTGGATTGTTTAAGCTAAGTTTTAAGTTTAAATACATAGATATAGAGAAGGCTAGAAATGCTTTCAACGTATAAGTTTATTTTTAACGATTTTCTTTTTTAGATAATTTATATCATTTATATAAGGCTTTGTACAATTTTGCACTGAACTATGGACAATACACATGGGTACGCATTACGTCGCGCATATGGCACCTAATCACTTCACTGGGGTGAAAAGAGGTTTGTTAGCTATGGAGTTTGACAACCCCATTGCTAGTAATATGCCCTAACAGGTCGACCTCCACGTGATTCCTCCTGGAAACTGTCGTGAACAATTCTTTTTGAATTCGTCACGATGGGCTAACTGACCTGCTTCATCCTCACCTATCATCCTTTACTGGTGCCCCGCCGGTGTATACCGATAGCGCGGGTGGAGTTACTGTTTCATTATCACCCATAAAAAATATCACTTCCTTGTGCTGGATGTGTCCAGTAATTTTCTAAACATGTTTTGGCGCACAACGAAGTACTGGGGAAATTGTTGGAGGAAAGTTAAAAGGGCTGTGAACTTGGAGTAATGTGGGTTATATTTATAAACTATGCATTAATATGCGTCTATACAGACGATATATTAATGCATAGTTTTTCTCTATAGCTTTTCTAAAGAAAAAAATGTAAGACACGAAGCCCGTTCCATTTACGATACCTCCATGTCAGTTTATGGAGAAGTTTGTTTGTTGACGGAGGGGAGGTTTTCCGGCGCATGCCTCGGTGTTGGCGACTAACTTTCTGAGTAGTTATTAGAACAGTGTTTCATTTCAGACAAGTTTAGTGTTATATACATTTAAGATTTTGTGCTACAAAAAAAAATAAGAGCAACTGGGACTTCAATAAGGTTGATCCCTTATCATATTTATCTTAAGTAAACATTATTGAAATCAGAAGGGAGAAGCTGTGATAACACTTGATATTTACTTTTTATTTTGGGTGTATTTGTTGGGTACCTCTGTCCCATTCGTGTTTCTACCGTGAAGCAGTTGTGTTTGTGTGTTTCGACGGTTACCACTTTCCATCAGCTAGGCCGTCAGCTTGTTTGCCATTCTAAGTTGTATAAAAAAAAAATTATTAAATACACAGTCGGGACTTAACGGGATGAAATAGCTTTTACCTGTAAACTATTCGTAGTACCTACATACCTAATTCTTTATTGCTGACGTTTAAGTGCCGATTATGTATTTAAAATTACGTGTAAACAACGTGAAAGTATAAAATTAATTTTTGATTTCTATTGTTTTTATTAAGACCCCTTATACGTATTTTTTTCTTATTATTAATATATTTTTCATGTATACACATTGGCTAGTTATAATTTTTTTATATCAGTACGTGACTGTAGCTAGGGGGGGGACATTGAGGGGCAACAACATTAAAAGAGTCAAAGTCCTACCTTAAAACGAAAGCCCCCAAGAAAATTAGACAGATTCACTTTTTCGAAGTAATTTAATTATGGTTTTTGCTCCACCAAAAAGTTATTTTGCCCTACCTTAAACTTGGGTCTAGCTACGGTCCTGTATCAGTTAGACTTTAACATGACTGAAACAATGTTCCAGTTTGGGAATAGAGATAATTATATTGTAGTACATGTACGTACACTGTGCGTAGTAAACCAGTAATGTCTAACCAGCAATTAATAATTATTGGACATTTGGTATTAATATTATAATTATGTACATTCAAAGTCAATCTATATAGTTATTACTGCTTACATGGTTTTTTTTTTAATGGATGATAATGGAATGGTAACCTAACCCGCGCTATCGGTATACACCGGCGGGGCACCAGTGAAGGATGATAGGTGAGGATGAGGAAGGTCAGTTAGCCCATCGTTACGAATTCAACAAGAATTAGTCACGATGGTTTCCAGGGGAACCACGTGGAGGTTGACCTAATAAGGCATATTGCTAGCAATGGGGCTGTCAAACTCCATTACTAACAATCCCTTTCCCCCCTGCTTAAATGGTTCCGTATGCAAGTTTCAAGTTACTCAGCGAACTATGGAGAGGGCTATGCTCGGAGTTTCTTTGCGTGACAGAATCCGAAATGAGGATATCCGCAAAAGAACCAAAGTGACCGTATAGCCCGAAGGACAAGCGAGCTGAAATAGCAATGGACAGGTCACATAACTCGAGGAACCGACAACCGATGAGGAAGAAAGGTTCTTGAGTGGTGATCCCGGATAAACGCAGTATAGGACCTCAAGTGTATCACAGGAAGTCAGTGGATGCAAGTGGCTCAGGACTGCTCTCCGTGGCAGTCTATGGGGGAGGCCTATATTCAGCAATAGGCAAATTGTCATCTGTCTATTACAGAAGGAAGGTTTCCCCCATCGTTATCATTATATCATCAGTAGGTACTTAACTTCCCATGTTTCAATACTGAACATGAGTAGATACCCATAATTATTGACCAAAATCGAAATCATTAAAAAATTTTTAGTTGTAATATTTAAAATTTCATGCATGAAATGTGTTTTACGAGTAAAACATACATATTTATTGTTAAAGAAGATTAAAAACATAAAAAAAATCACGGTTCCTATACAACACGTCCTGTCTAAATGTGAGTTTTTTTTTTAATGGATGATAATGAAATGGTAGCCCCGTCTGCGCTATTGGTATACGCTGGCGGGACACCAGTGAGGGATGATAGATGAGGGTGAAGCAGGTCAGTTAGCCCATCGTAACAAATTCAACAATAAACCAATCACGATGGTTTCCAGGGGGAACCGCGAGGAGGTCGACCTGATAGGGTTTATTACTAGCAATGGGGTTGCTAATCCCCATTACTAACAATCCCTTCCCCCCCTCTAAATGTGAGTTAACCTGGGATTTTCCAAATTATTTATTGGTAGAGACACAGATAAAATAATAAATACATAATACTTACGCAAAAAAAAAATGTGATCAGTTTGAATGCCCTATGCTATGATAAATAACTTGTCTATGGCGACTTTTTACAGTCTTTTTTTGAGCTTAGCTAAAAACAAAGTTCACCAAACAAATTCTACGAACTAGTGTATTCGCCTCCGTTCAGCTCGATTTACAGTCATAAAAAGAGATTAATTCAAAACATTGTACAAAATATTTCACACACAGCACGTAGGTGCTCGAATCAGTGTACGACGAACTGTTTTTTTGACGCCACGGGATATATTGTAGGATTACAGCCCGATTTATCGCTAGGGCTTCCGATCTTGGATAAAAATATCGATCAATTGAATCGTTTCTAATCGAGAAATCTCATATCTTTCGATGAGAGAATCGATATTGTAAAGTCCATTCTTACGAAAACCGATCAATCTTTCTATGTTATTGTTTATTTTTAACAAAAATTTGAAAACTGTACATACAGGGGATAAAAATAAATAAAAAAAATTACCTACAGAGGAATGTTAACTTTATAATAAAAGGAAAACTAATTAGAAAAAGGTATTTGACATAGAAAGGGATAAATAAATCTCGATTTAGTATTTTTTTAATTATCCTAAGAACAAATTATCTTTAAAAACAATCGATTATTTAGATCGATCTAAAATCGATATAAATAATCGATGATTGAGGTCCAAAACATCGATCTTCGTATAAATCGAATAGAAGTCGGAAACCCTATTCACCGCACGCGCGGGATCCCGCCACTTCCGCGGGATTAATATTCCCACCGCGCTCAACTATCATAATTCCGAAACATGATATCAAGGGGCGCCGCAAATCTCGAGTTCGCAGCATGCAAACTGGTGCATTTGCATACTCTGCTTTAGTGTATAGTTATTTATTCGAGGATTCAGTTTAGGAATTTGTGGTGCGAGCATTTAGCATTGGATGTAGTTTCGTTTTATCTTTACGACAGGCCAGTTTACTTTAGGGTTAGACAAAGTAAGATTCTATTAGCGAAATTATGAAAATTTGCTTGTAAAATTAATTATTTGTTTGTTGTACTAGCGTGAGTCAGTTAAAACATAGCCTGTGTTCTTTTCCATCCCAAATAGTATATATATTTGTAAAATAATGAAGATTGGTTAACGTTACAGAACACAATAGTCTGCTATCGGAGGATTCACGGATACCTCGGTCATATTGCTCGTTGACAGTCTAACAATCTGGACAAGCTAATGGTTGTAGGCAAGATAGAAGGAAAAACACCACGCGGACGATCACCTAGTCGATGGTCGGACTAAGTAACCGCCGTTACGGGACTGTCTGTTGCAGTCGCCAGTGGCTGAAGACCGTGCGAAATGGAGTAACATTATAAGAGACGCAACAGACACCTTTCAAGGACACAACCTTCAGTAATGAAGTGGACGAAGTGAGAGGTAACGTAACGTAACGTTAAGGCTTCTACCAGAATACCAGTGTTCCGCGGTTGTGAATTTACTGATGCAGTAAATTAATTAATTTGACTAGTTGTGAGTGTATTTTTTTAACTTACTTCAACCAAGATGCTTGATATTACTGAATAAACAGGAACTTAATATGGGAACTTAATAGGATAAATCCATCCTAGGTCTATTGCATGACAAACAAAAACATCAAAATCGAAAAATATGTTAATCTGGATGAAAATTAATATTTTGAAATTCTTGCTTATTTCTTCTTTAGTAACAAGAAAATAGTTCTAAAAACTTGTATTGAAATGCTTAAAAGATAAAAACAAGATGAGATTAATTTATTTTTTGTATTTATTCTTATCAATAGTGTCATTTTAAATAATAATACAACTTAAACATACTTTGTTTCTAAATTCTCTATGTTTAATATGTTGATATTATTTTTATGATTTTGAAGAGATTTCGAAAAATTTAATTTAGCTATAATTTCTTCGGTCAGAGACTTTTTACAATATGTTCGGCTAATTGTCTGTTTAACCACAGAATATATTCTTTAGCTTACTGATCCTAAGTCCTTAAAACTAGGATACCCTGAATACTGTAGACCAAACCTTATATACTGAATTCCACGGGCATACCTCGCAAGCAATTAGCGAAGGTCAAGCTTCATACGTGGCGACCATAAAAAATCGCAAACGAAATATCAAAGGATCCTTAATCCAAAAAAACCCTTGTTACAATGCGGCGTAATTACAGAACACAAAAAAGGGCCCGTGATTCGGGTTTAATCAGACGTCCAGGAGCGTCACCCGGGCCCTATTGACCTTTGTCCCTTAATGAAGGATCGCTTCCGCGGCCAGGGGCGTCTTTGTCACCATGTTATGCCCTCTGTTATGGGTGGTTTGAGTGATAAGCGCTCGGCGAGAGAATTAAATATGGAAAACTATTAGAACTCGTGGTTTGTTCAAGTTGGTTGAGGATTTTTTTTTATTATCATCACACGGGTAATGATCATAATTTTATATTAATTTTTGTGGCCATAATTAAAAAAAAATGAAGGCGAAATGTTTTAAGACCGTCTTAAATATTTTTTTCTTATATCATCATCTTTAGTAATGTTTTTTTTTTAATTTGTGTACATACATGCCGGACCTTCGTTGCGTCAAAGTAAGTTTATATCGAAAATGTATAAAAATAATATAAATACATTATTTATAATACTCAATAAAAATATTTTTTCTATTCTGTTATTAACACATGATGTACTAGTGCTGGAGAAAAATCCTCAAAATTTCCTTCCAAAAGTTCTGCGCTACTTTAAATTAATCCTCTTTAAATACGTTTAGGTCACTATGTCATGCTTACTGGGCCACTGAGCTATCGAGCTCTGAGAGAAGATCTTTTTTTTAATAAAGGCCTTTTTTAATTGTTCCGTGCTGGGCTTTTTTTTTAATACATGATTAATGGAATGGTAACCCCGCCTGCGCTAACGGTATACGCTGGCGGAGCACCAGTGAGGAATGATAGGTGAATAATAAAACAGGCAGGTCAGTCAGCCCATCGTGATGAATACACCTGGAACTCAGCACGATGGTTTCCAGGGGGAACCGCGTGGAGGTCGACCTGACAGGGTATATTGCTAGCAATGGGACTGGTAGCCCGCATTACTAACGACCCCTTCCCCCCAAACCACTGCTGGGCTAAAGGTCTCTCTTTTGTCTCGCCAAATATCTGTCTCTAGTCAAAATTTATCATTCCTTTTGTCAAAATTGTCACGCCTAGCGTTGAGATCTTTATTATTTCAGCTATTAACTGTCCACTGTTGAACATAAGTCGTCCCCATAAAAGGAGATTTGCCAGTAGTTGCTACGTTTGGCAGGCGGGTTGGCAACCGCAGTTAGTTTAGAGATGTTTTAAGAGAGACGCTGCTGCCCATCCCTCAACTATTAAGTTCCCTTAGCTCTCTTTTACGATACCCACGGGAAAGAAAGGGGTAGCCCATTCTATCCCGAAACCGACACGGTGACAAGAATACTATATAACACATAAAATATGTTTGGTGTTCAAATATCAATAGAATATTCATCCCACGTGTACCGGCTGTCCTGTAAACCTAACTTAAATAAGTGCTAATAACCCAAGCAATCATGCTAATACAATGTTGCTGGGGGGAAAGAGATTGTTAGTAATGGAGACTGAGAATCCCATTGCTAGCAATATACCCAACCAGGTCAACCTTCTCGCGGTTCTCCCTGGAAACTATCATGGTTAATTCCTGACGAATTCATTATGAAGGGCTAACTGACTTGTTTTCATTCTCATCTGTCACCCTTCACTGGTGATCCGCCAGCATATCCCGCTAGCGCAGGCGGAGTTACCATACCATTTTCACCCATAACAAAAAAAAATACAATGTTGCTAGTTGACAAGACAATGCATAAGAGAAAGCGTTTGTAATTTCCAAGTTATCTTTTACGACACTAACGGTATAGGCAGGAGTGGCTTATTCTATGCCGGGACTCACACGGCGAGATTTTTATTACCAAACAAATATTAAATAGCTACCATCTCGTAACTTAGACCATACGATAAACACAAGAGCCCTTTGTGGTGCTAATTACGGCTTATTGTATGACAGCGTGTCGGGGACGTCTAGACGGATTTGATTGCAGGTAACCGAAAATAATCAATTTGTTTGTCGTTTGTACAGCGATATAACGACGTAATGTAATTGCAATCGAAATTAACATTAATGGGAATTTGTTATTCATGAACGTATCTAAATAATCTTTAATATCTCTTAATTCTCTCTCGCCTCTATTCGGTGCGCTCAAACTCTTACTACCTTCAAAACCTCTGTTAAATCTTACTACCTCTCACTTTAGTACTATTTTCCTGTGATCTCTTTTCGTTTTCCTTCGTCATTTTTTTTTCTGTTGTATGTGTGCTGTTAAGTATGTGTATGTTATGTATATATTTAATTGTGTATATATTATATATGTATGTGTATGTGTGTATGTATATGTGTTTGTATATGATAATATTTATATAATAGTGCGCCACATACTCTTTGTCTTTTTCTCAATGTCCTCTACCCAAAGGTTGGCTGGAAGAGATTGCTTAGCGATAAGGCCGCCTGTTGTATCACTTCTCATTAATATTTATTGTATTTGTTATTTCTCTATTTACTTAGTGCAATAAAGTGTAAATAAATAAATAACTTCTTATTACCTTAACTTCGTTCCGCCTAACAGACAATTCATAAATTTTTTAGTTTTTTTTTATTATGATACCTACTTAATTAAATTTTATTTTTACTTATTCTAAATAGTTATATTTTATTGACAATAGCTGTACCCGCGACTTTGTCCGTGTGGAATTTAACAAAAAAGTTAATTTTCGTCAACTGATGGTTGTGAGTTCGATCCCCGTACAATGTTATTGTATTTTATGAGTATTTCTATGTATATATATATATGTATATGTATATATATATATATATATATATATATATATATATATATATATATATATATATATATATATATATATATATAAAATCTTAATTTATCTATCAGATTCTAGGAACCATTGTATAAGGCCTGCTTAGTTTGTGACTACATAGTGGATATGCGTTTTTATTTTTAAATTAATTTCTTATGACGTTTCACTAAATTCTACAAGAGAAGGGATACACCTATTAATTATTAAAGTAGAATGTATTTATTTATCTAAGATATTATCTGTATTTATGTTGTATTTTGTTAAGAGAGGGACTGGCTGAAAACCAGCGCTGTGCTGATGTTCACATTACACTGGGACACTCGCAGCATCAGCTGAGCCGGTTCCTTTTGCCTAGTATGGTACACTTCTTGTATATGTATTTTCGATATTTTCTACTGTGATTGTGTGTTTACTGGCATTAAATGTTTTCAATTCTATCTAATATACTCCCTCAATAAAGAAATATATTCGTAAAATTTTTCACAAGCAAATAATTTTTTTTTATACTACTTAGATTGGCAAACAAGCTGACGGCCCACCTGATGGAAAGTGGTAACCGTCGCCTATAGACATGAGCAGTATCATGGACATAACAAAGTATACTGTTTCGTCCACGATACCCCCCATGCGTTGCCATTCCTGAGGGCTCAGGTGTTATTCCTCTGTACCCAGTAAATTCACGCCATATCTCATATTTCGAACCGAAACACAGCCATGCAAACACAACTACTTCACGGTAGAAACACGAATGGGACAGAGGTACCCAAGCAATCGACTTTTGTACAAAGTCTCCCTCTGGTTATTACATTATTGATACTTTTAACTTATAAAGTTAAAATTAAACTGTCATACAAATCACATTTATAGCAAGCTGCGCAACAAACGGAACATTCGGCAACAATGGAAGTTCGTTTAATTAAATCTTAGAGACGATTTCAAAACATCTGCTCCTACGAACTTGCTTACAGATTTAGATGGCTGCATTGGCTTTGTTTTGCAAATTCAACTCGGTTCTAGAAGTTTCATTATAAGTAGGACAGATTAAGAACGTAATGGTGCTAAGGGATTACCCCCTTATTTGTAAAGATCAAACTTCTTATAAAACTAATTTAGCTATTGAAATGTTTTCTCTTTCTTTTATGCTAAATTCTCAGTTTGAATGAAAGGGACAAAACAGTGTAATAGTTAAAGTAGGTTTGTAGGACGTTTTAGTTTTTATGAATAATGGGATAAATTTAACTTTTTTTGCTGAGACTTTAATAAATATGTAGGTATAAGTTTTAGTAATATTACATTAGTTCATAAAAAAATGCATTTTTATTTGTAACAGAACTTATAGCTGGACTAGGTATAATGTACACTACAAGATGTGTATTTTGCACCGTAAAAAACAGCAACATCAATCGCAAGAAACGTATGAAAGAATGAAAGACATACATTTATTATTCCATTCACAAGCACTGTACTACTAGTACTAGTCCATACAAATGAAAGAAGAAATTGCTAAAATTTTTTTTGGAATGAAATTACAAAAATATATTTTTCGGTTTCTACTTGTACTGTAGGTACGACACTGCTTCTTGTCAAATTTCATCGTAAGTAGTGAATAAGTATATAATTTATTTCAAATGTCAAAGGATATACTGTAAATAGCTGTATTTTTTATTCCTTTGATTTTGAAATTAGATTTTTTTTTCTTATACTTTATTGTACATAAAATTTATAATGTATATATTTTTTATTTAATAAAGATACGAACATAACTCAGTAACAGTTCTTTTACAGCAAACCCTGAGTGGAAAGGAGCATTAATTATCAGCGAGCAGTAAGAAGAGAAAACAGTTTGGTTGTTCTACACAGCTTCAAGGGATTGCAGACTCGAGTATTTGATATCAATTTCAGTAATACCTCCTTGCATTTCTAAGACCAAGGGTATTGACAGATGAACAGATGTCTCTCTTAAAACCTCACCAAAGCTTAACTGTGGTTGCCAACCTACCTGTCAAGCGTGGAATTTTATGGCAAAACTCCTTTTATGGAGCTCCCCCCACCCCCCTGTTTAGCAGAAGACAGTTAATAGCTGATATAATAATAATAAATAATAATACATTTATTAATACGTAAAGTAAAAACTTTGTTTTGAAATGCACCACGCTTATTATTTATATACTTAGAGAAGAGCACCTCTGTCCCATTAGTGTTTCTAGCGTGAAGCAGTTGTGTTTGCGTGGCTGTGTTTCGCTTTGAAGGGTGAGATATGACAGTGAATTTACTGGGTACAGAGGAATAACACCTGAGTCCTCAGGAATGGCAACGCATGGGAGGTATCATGGGCGAAACAGTATACTCTGTTATGTCCATGGTACTGCTTATGCCTATAGGCGACGGTTACCACTTTCCATCAAATGGGCCGTCAGCTTGTTTGCCATTTTCAGTTGTATAAAAAAAAAAGAATGCTAATATTTTTCTTTTAATTATCCATAAAATACATTAAATCAATAAAAAAAAAAAACATTACACACACTACTATGTATTTGATACACAAACGCATATATCGCCATAGTCGTAGAATACTGACGGATCTTTAAATGTACTTTGTCAGATCCGTCAGTATTCTACGACTATGACGATATACTCTTTAGTTATTGTTAAAGTCTGAGGTCACATTGAGAATAGATTAATACTGCTAGTCTTTAATTTTATTTGTCTATAGTCTTACTCATTATCAAACATAACCATAATAAATTCATTTAGTACAATGTGTGTTATAGTCGAATTTCGACCATGGGGCAACCACTAGTAATAAAATAATAACATAGGAAACTAGACTTACATTCAGGAACAAATAATATGTCGATATAGAATAACAATATTTGAATGTTCTACAGAATTAGCCAGTGGGTATTTTCGAAGTTATTTGATTGCGACAAACTTAGAGCAAGTGAATAGTAGACTGCTCTAAAAGTTATTTGCTAGTACGAATAGCAGTTTCCTTACCTCTTGTAGTTTAAAACTTGAATTTATTGCATTCCACTCTCGTTGTGTAAGTCAGTATTAAAAAAATATGCCTTGAAAATTAAATTAAATTAACTGCATATTGTTGATCATAGAACTCCACCATAAGGGCCTAGTGGCACCTAGCATGGCAACTAGTGGCAAACCCCCCTCGGGTTTGCCACTAGTTGCCATGCTAGGTAAGCTGATTGGCAACCGCAGTCAGGCTTTAGAGATGATGAAGAGGGACGTTAGTGCCCATCCCTCACCCTATAAATATTTGGTTACAATTCAATATCTATCTATAAAACATCTCGTTGTTTTTCGATTCATGAATTCCTTTTTTTTCCTATCAATATGTAATTATTATAATTAAAGGTGAATCCCCAAAAATACCTTTGAAACTAGATTACGAGTATACCTGTAAAAAATAGATAGAGGTAAGGTTAATTAATAATCAAAGGATATCTACTAATTAATGGTTTCGAATTGCCAAACTGGCTTCCTTTGCCAACTCTTTGGTAAATTAATATTCGCTTTTTCGATCAACGACATTACGTAATAATAAAGACATGCAATCAAAAGAAAAAGCGAATAACGATTGACGAGTTCTTGTTCTAAATTTAAATAATTTCAATCTAATCAATGTCATCATCATCACCAGAGGGAGTCTTTATACAAAACTCGATTGCTTGGGTACCTCTGTCCCATTCGTATTTCAACCGTGAAGCAGTTGTGTTTGCATGGCTGTTTTTCGGTCTGAAGGTTGGGATATGGCGTGAATTTACTGGGTACAGAGGAATAACACTTGAGCCCTCAGGAATGGCAACGCATGGGGGGTATCATGGGCGAAACAGTATACTCTGTTATGTCCATGGTATTGCTCATGTCTATAGGCGACGGTTACCACTTTCCATCAGGTGGGCCGTCAGCTTGTTTGTCATTCTAAGTGGTATAAAAAAAAAGTCAGCGTGAATATGTTATCATTCATGTCATGTGCTCTGTAAAAAAGGCAATAAAAAAAAACAAAATAAATGTTGACTAGTCACAATTCTTATTTTAAAACAATTCACACACCGATTTATTACAATTAAGACAACAATATACTTCAATGATGCATAAAATTTTTTAAGGAGAGGTTTACATTTAGCAGTGGACAATTAAAGGCTGGTATGTATGTATGTATATATGTATGTATGATGATGACGATGATGATGATGAATTGATTTATTATAATTTACTGATACAATATTTATTTTGTAAATTTATCTTTTTATATTTAGATTATATAGAAATTAATTTATAGTAAAATTAAAACAAAGTTAAGATGCGAGCTCGCATTTAGTCTGTTTAGCCTTTGATAATCCGTCAGGCGTTTTGGATACAAGCGATTGCAATTCTGCGGCTGTTGCCTGAGACTGAGAAATGTATACATTTGTATTACTAAACAGTTCTAAGTTCTGACAGCATTGTGATGTTTGTACAGCTTTCTAAATAGATCGTGTAATCTGAAGGTGGTTTTATTGTGTATATTTTATTGTTATATACATAGGAATTTGCCTACTTATAGATATACATATATTCTCCGTGTGTTTTTTTTAATGGATGATAATGGAATGATAACCTCGCCTGCGCTAACGGTATACGTTGGCGGGGCACCGTTGAGGGATGATAGATGAGAATGAAAAAAACAGGTCAGTTAGCCCATCGTAATGAATACACTTGGAATTCAGCACAACGGTTTCCAGGGGGGACCACGGGGAGGTCGACCTGGTTGGGTATATTGTTAACAATAGAGCCCTTATTTTCCATTACTAACAATCCCTTCCTCCCCATTCGCCGTGTGGTCCCAACATAGAATGGGCCACTCTTTCCATTGATACAGATGCCAAAAATGTAGTCAGTAAAATTTTTGTCTGTCTATCTGTATGTTCTTTATAGAAACCAAAAATACTCGACGGATTTTAACGAAACTTGGTACAATTATTCTTCATACTCCTGGGCAGGTTATAGTATTACTATAGAATGATGAAAAGTATACTTATAGTATACTTTTCATCACGCTACGATCAATAGGAGCAGAGCAGTGAAGAGAAATGTTGGGAAAACGGGAGAAGTTTTTTAAGCTTCCGTCGCGAGTGCAGCCACTTAATGGCCACTATTTAAAATGTAAAAATGTCCACCCGTGCGAAGCCGGGATGGGCCGCTAGTATATAATATATACGGGGAAGTATCGAAATTATTCGCATCCTTTCATATTACGAGTATTTGAAAAAAAAGAAGAAAATTAAAATATATATATATTATACTATATCTATAAATTTATTATATTATCGTTCAGAGATTTATGATATCAAATTATTCGTTATTTTTGTAAGTATAACCGTAAATCAACTAATATTTTATGGGTATTTTCTTTTTTTTTTATTATTTCTGACGGAAAAAATAAACGGTAAGATATTTTAGGTTACGTTCATACACCTTTTCCTGTCGTGCGATTGAGAATACAACAACACTTGTCCATTATTACAAGAACCGTGATCCCGTAAGCACTAACCGCTCCGAGATTTGTGAAAAATAATGAAAGAGCGGCGCGGCGGACCAAGTAAAAATGGCCGCGGCTCCTTGAGACGTGGAATTCGAAAAATTCAATTTCCTAACTGTGAATTTAGTACAGAATGCAAGAAATAACCGGCTTTCAGTCGAAACGCTCCCTAGAGATACGAGGAGAATGTAAAACATAGAGAATGGAGTGAAATTACACGTACCCGGTCTGGTATGTGCCTAACTTTAGTGGGACATTTATAATACATGTACGACTTCTATACGACTTTAAAAAGATGAAGCGTACAGTTGGACTCTACTGGTTGATTTTCAAGTGCGATTTATGTCTAGTTTCGCTGTACTTTTATGGTTTCGAGTCTTCATAAAAGTTGATGACTCCAGAAAGTACTTTCACCAAAAAAATCTTTCTTTTATATTTCGGGGACATACGGTTTTCTGGGGGTACAATGTTGAAAGCATACTTGAAAGGTCCACCGAAGTTAGACAAGGATTATAAATACTCTAAATCGCCTTATTATATTTAATTTGTTACATGATATATTTTGATTTGTTTATTAAATAAATATACAGTCTTAATATTCGGGTATTTTATTATCATCATCATTAACACAGCGCCATCTAGTTTCAAACAAAGACGAGTTTCGAGAGTTAAGAAGTCTGGCAATCTAGTAATCAAGTAAAGTCGTATCGGATCGTAATCGTGTCGTGTCGTATAAAAACATTGTTAGGGTGCGTATAGAAGGGTGTCGCATTCAATAGAGGAAAACCGATCAGATGTTCAAAAGATAAAAGGGAAATGTTAAGCCATTTTCATAGTCGTAAAAAACGGCGAGAATATTTAATAATTGAATTTTTGTCAAATGCCACCATGATATGGCTATGGGATAGCGTTG